AGAGTAAGTAGTTTTCAAGTTATGTATTTGTATTAGAGGACATGTTTAAAATACATAATGTTATTTTATTGCTATATTCCATTTTCCACTAGTCATAACTATGTCACTAATAAAGTTATACATTTAGTAAATTCCATTTCAAATGATTTTTTCATATTAATGTTTTAGTTCATAAAAAATCTTAATTATCATTTTTATTATACTAAAACAATTTTCTTTGGTAAGTTTTCAGATCTCGAGCTTGTTAATAAAATGATTGGATCCAAAAGACAATACCATTGAAAAAAATATTTATTTAGACTACTGTAACAATAAATCAATTTAATACATTGTCAAAGTCGCCTCCTTTCATTTCAAAACATTTTTGAATTATATCAGAAAAATTTTCTCCTAACCTTCAGAAATATGTTTGGTTGATAGGGTCTTCATGTCCCCAAAAATAAAAATCTAGGGGATTAAAGACATTCATGTGAAATGAGCCAAACAAGTGTTTTATGTTAAACCTTCTATATTATAAAATAATGAAATAAATAAATTATGTTTATATTATATTTATTTTTATTTATTACATGTTAACATTATATAAATATATTGATTGTAAAATTATATAACTAAATTACATTATATTAAAAACCTATATATCACTATATAGGTATTATAAAATTCAGGTTAACAACATGGCTTTGCCAAAGGAAAGTCTACATGCACAAACTTAATACTGTATACTAATTTTATTGCTAATTCAATTGAACATAAGGGTCTCCCGTTGATGCTATCTACACAGACCTTTCTAAAGTCTTCAACAGAGTTAACCATGATCTGCTTATTGCTAAATTACAAGGCTATGGATATGAAGGTAAAATACTTGAGTGGATAAGTAGTTATGTGTCTGGTAGGTGTCAGTATGTAAAATATGGAAATTGTTTATCTCACATATTGTTGAATAAGGTTTCTTACAAATGAAACACATTAGACATTTTTAATACAATTTAAAAAAACACAAAATAAACCAAAATGAAGTATTGAGTAAATATTTTTAACAGGAGGTTCACAACAATAAACAAAACACAAAAATACTGAATACCTAACCTCAACAACTGGTGTCAAAAATGTCGTCCAATCAGAAGATGGAATGCAAGAAGGTGGCAATGGACCACAGGAGTGATGACGTAGATTTGATTGACATCTGCCAGTTTCACTTTCCAAACAAACGTTGTTTAGTGTGGATAATTTGTATTTTTCGTTATTTTTTCATTTATTTTATAGAATCTTTCCGCTTTTTGCAATATTTAAGTATTCTAATAGTTACTACAACAATTTTACAAGGTTGTGTAAATAATAAAGCACATTGTTTTATGCTAATAGGAATAAAATGAAAGTATCAATAAAGTAAGGTTAAAATTTCTTTAATTAAACTTTTAAACCATATTTCATAGAAATAGAACTCTGAATTATGACGGTATTATCGTAAAAACACTATACTTACAAGAAAAAGCAGCAGAGGAAGCAAAATGTTAACTTTATAGGAATTAAAAAGTCTTGAGATTTGACATTTCAACGTTTGTTTGGAAAGTAATAATGACATGTGACGTCACACTCCTGCGGTCCATTAGCCTCTCGTCCTTTTACCATCATTAAGTTAGGTTTTTCGTTATTCTCCTTGATTCTGTTGGCACTATGCACGAAATATAGATGTTGCCAGATTTACGAAGTTTTGGTACTAATAGTTAAGCGATGCTTTTGTTGGTGAATATCAAATTATGTATTAGGTATTGCCTAACAATAAGCGATCATTTTTAAAATTTAAGCATTTCCTAAGAGAGGTTGGTTGAGTTTATCGAAAGTAAAAGCTGAATATAGCGGCAAATGTGAACGAGATAAAATATTTCGGTTTGGAAGTGTTTGGATGTTTGTATAATGCCTATGTTGTATACTTCAAATATAAAGCGAGAAAGCTTTTAAAAAGTACATTTTATTATATTATTTTAATTTTTAATTTATATGAAACAATAATGAGTAAATATTTGTCTCTTTCGAGATTAATTACAAACATCTGCAATCTAGCAACTCTTGATTTGACGATTGACAAATCTCTCTCCTAAATTAGATCAAAGGGAAATTGCAAAAAAATTTCTAATAATTAACTGCAATTAATTACTAGTGCCTAGAGCCTGACCTCTTGTCTTATAATCTGTGGCCTGACCCACTATTCTGTGCAGACTTGCGCAGTTCATTTGTATTCATTTTTGAATGTGTCAATGAGTTTTATAATATCTATTTATTACATGATGAATAGTTCCTCGAAAAGCTCTGTTTTTTTAATATTTTTGTTGCGCATAGGTTTAAAACAAAAATGTGTTATACAGAGTGTGATATCATGTAAATACTGATGCCAACTTTATTATTTTAGATGGAACACCAGGTATATTATTTAGTTATTGGATCCAATACAAAATACAAAGAACTTTATCAATATATTGGATTGTCATGCTTTTATTTAACTGTTTTTATTATGCAATGTATTAAAGGCACAATCCCTTCTATATTAAGTTTAAAATATATAGCCTTTAAGATACCTACTTATGTACATTCATAATTAACATAATATCTATTTTAAAAGAATATAGGTACATATATAGTATATATATATATATATATATATATATATATATATATACATATATATATATATATATATATATATATATATATGTACCTATACTTCATCTAATTTAGATAACGACTTACGTCATGATCTACGTCAGAGATCGAAGTTGACATAGTTGCCAAAGTATAAAAAAATCCTGAATCCATTTTAAATCAAATAGGTTACATAATGATTGCAACAGTATTGCCATCTCTTTACACTGACTATTTAAATTCTTAAATGATATTTTTAAAATAAAACACACTAATTTTGTTCTAAAAAGAACAGATTTTATTAAATAGTTAAAAATATAAAACAAGAGACATTCACTTTAAAATTCAAAATAATAAAGTACAAAAAGTGTCAACACCGCAACTGTCAAGTAAGTGTTACCAATTTATGCCAAAATTTTACCTTCGTTCGATTACAGTTACAGTGTGTTCCGAACAAATGTTCTCGAGAAAAATGCTTTATAATGCATTTATACAAATTAAATGAAACATATTATTGTGTATTTCTTTAAGTTAACATTAATAGAAATTTTTAAATATTATTTCTACGCGTATATAATAAAATATGTCTAGTGGCTGTAATGCCAGTGTACTCGGTAAAGTGATTCTAAAAAAGAACACACCTACCGTCTAAATATTTCGTGTTGGTATCATGTGACTTCACAGGCTATGACGCCGATGACGTACATCGTTATATAAATTAGATGAAGTGTATATGAGTACTATATACATTATTAAAAACAAGTTGAGATACGAAAATGAACTCACTCTTCTTTATTGAAATTAGGTATAGAACCTTTTAAAGTCATAAGGAGACACGCAGATAGTGATCTATTCATTAACCACCTTGTATCCTAAAATAAGTTAATTAAAACTATAAGATGCAATATATTAAAGTTCCGGAAATTTTGTGCATAATCCAAAAAATTTATAATATACCTAACCAATGTTTCATTTAAAATAAGAAAGTTGGTATCATAGTAATTGATATATAACATCAGTCAACATCCTGTATATAAAATAACAAATTTTTATTGGAAAAATGCGCAAAATGTATTTTTTAAAATAATTTTTAAAACTATTTTAAAAAACCTTTAATTTTGATTTTCTATTATTTACTATTAATTTTAGAGTTATTCTTATGCAACCAACAATACACATAAACCTCATTGTCACATTTGGATGTGGATACAAATGAACTGCGCAGGTCTGCACAGAATAATGGGTCAGGCTCTAGACACTAGTCCATTAATTTCCAAAAAAACAAATATTTACTTTTCTTGTCGTTTTATATAAATCATAAATTGCAGAATTCATAACATAATATAATCAAAATGTACTTTTCTAAAGCTTTATATCTTTATATTTAAAGCATAAATCAGAGATATGTCATAAATACACATGCCAACACTGCTAAACCGAAATTTGTTGTTCCATGTTTGACATTTGCAGCTAAAATCAGCTTGTACTTTCAGTAAACTCAACCCGATTTTCGGATGTCAGAAATCGAATACATGGAACTCCAGATATTTTTTTTATGTACTATGATGGGACTCCACTTAAAACTGAATAAACTGACATAATGGTCACAAAACATAAACTTTGACACTGCATTCAGATGCTTCACAGAAAATGGAAATGGCAACAACGTAATGGTAAATAAGGATAGAATCATTAAAAAATGCACAAAATAGTAAAAGAGGTGTATAGTCCTTACTCCATAGAAGAACCGATACTGAAGCAAAAACAAAACGTGAGACGGAGTATAATGGACCGCAGGAGTGTGACGTCACATTGTCATTATTACTTTCCAAACAAACGTTGAAATGTCAAATCTCGAGACTTTTTAATTCCTATAAAGTTAACATTTTGCTTCCTCTGCTGCTTTTTCGTGTAAGTATAGTGTTTTTACGATAATACCGCCATAATTCAGAGTTCTATTTATATGAAATATGGTTTAAAAGTTTAATTAAAGAAATTGTAACCTTACTTTATTGATACTTTCATTTTATTCCTATTAGCATAAAACAATGTGCTTTATTATTTACACAACCTTGTAAAATTGTTGTAGTAACTATTAGAATACTTAAATATTGCAAAAAGCGGAAAGATTCTATAAAATAAATGAAAAAATAACGAAAAATACAAATTATCCACACTAAACAAGGTTTGTTTGGAAAGTGAAACTGGCAGATGTCAATCAAATCTACGTCATCACTCCTGTGGTCCATTATATTTCTGACAGTTCTGAACCATTCCGAACTGCAGTCCATGACATGAACCTGTTTGAACCAATGAAGTATTTTCCCGCCCATCTTTTATGTCAGTAAAAACCAAACTACCAAACGTCCAAAAAGTTGATAAAAGATCTAGCACAAAGCAAAATACAGTATTTAAACCCAATAATCTGCATTTCTTTTTCACGTGCCTTTAATTTGTAAATTCTTTGAAGAAATGTTTATTAAAATTAGAAAAGATGGTGACGAAAAGCAAGAATGGGTTATTTCTGTATCAAAACAGGATAAAGTTAGTGTCATTGAAAAACTGGTCACACAAAAGACTGGTGTAAAACCTAAACAACAGACTCTTCTTTTCAAAGGAAAAACGGTATGTTAATTATACTTTTAAACTGTGTGAACTGGTAATTGTAAAAGAGTCTGAAATTTCTTGTGAAATGTATAGGTTTATTACAACTTCTGTTGACTTTTTGAAACTTTTGAGACTTTTTGAAACTTTTTATGACATAAATTCCTTAAGATATGAAAAATATTCTGATATTAAATAAAATCTTTCTACTATGAATTTGAGTAATATTATTTTTATCTATAAAATTTTATTACAAAAATAAGCATAAAAATTAAAATTATCATTTAAATATTTTATCATATGCATATTTTAGCTTGCATCCAAGGTTTGTATTCTTGACTACCAAATCCAAAACAACAATGTTGTGCAATTATTTGTTAGAGACATAGATAATTCTGAATCAAAAGAAAGTACTGATGCAAACACCGAAGACTCTGATAAAAATTTAATTGAAGCTGAAAGTAAATATTATGCTGTTGGTGATCTTATTGATGTGTTATTGGAAGATGATGGAACCTGGTATGAAGCATTTATTGTTAAAATATATTTTAAAAAGGAGCCATTTGAAATTTTATCTGAGGAAGATGAAAATAAACTAATCTTCAGAATCAAAAGGTAATTATGAAGAATTTTCTTTTACTGGCTTGTAAGTAATGAAAAAATATGTTTATTTTGTATTTAGGTATTTTTGAAGGCAAAATTATAGATAACTTTGTTAATTGAAAAGTAAATAGACTAAAATCAAGATAAAGAACTAAAAGTGGACTGTAGAAGAAATTCATTGATGTAAAATAGGATCTATGAATATATAATGAATGGGAGATATTAGGAAATAACAAAAATTAAGGGGACAGTCTCATGCAATTAAAAAAAAGACATATTTTAAAATTAAAGCAGAAAAAAAACTATAATATTTATTAACATAATTCCTTTTGGAGATGATTAAGTAAGTCTTGAAGTACATAATAAAAATTTTTAATAGCGATTTTAATTTCATTGGTGTCCTGTAGATGGCGTGTAGTAAAAAGTGCGTTTTTGGTGGTAAGACACTTTGTGGGTCACCTATAACATATTCAAAAAATTCAAAATGGGTTGTATTCGTGAGACTCAAAATTAGATGATAAACCTTTAAAATATGTAAATTGTATTATTTTGAAGAGTTTATACGAATTTTTTCAAAAAAGTCGAAAAATCACTATATTTTTCGGTGGATTCACCCATATATAATAAAAAAGGGGGTGGTTTTTAAACATTTTAAAGGTTTATCATCTAGTATTATGTATATACATTCGAAAAATTTTTGGTTTTTTAAAATCGGTCTAGAAGGTTCGGAGAAAAGTGTCTGACCAGTTTGAAAATGTTACTTTTGAGAAAAAAGCATTTAAAGTTTTTTTTACATAATTTTCGTTAATAAAAGGCTGATAACTTTATACACACGTTTAATCGGCCATTCCTGGTGAATATTGAGGACAGTCTTCATCCAACAGTTGTTGTAAATGGCTTTGTAAAGCTGTAAATTTCAATACAACGTCGCGATGTTTTATAATTAATTCATTTGTTTGATTGGAGTCTCACTCTTAATTCACGCCACGATGCTTCCAGTGTGTAAGTGTAAAAACGGAACACACCTAGATCGTATGTCAATTCAACGAAAATGTACTTATTTATAAATGTAGATATGAAAATATTTTATAACTTAAAAAATGGTTATGTTTTATTGCCAAAACGGCGTGAAAAAAGTTGATTTCTAAAATTAAAAATAAAAAGGAATATTAAAAATAAAATAATTATATTACACTCTTTTTAATTTGAAATTATAAACAATATTTGGATTAATAAATGTATTTAAGTATAAATTTTATAACTCAAATAATACCTAATGAAGACAAACAAAATTGATGTTAATAAAACATTATTTATTATCTGCACAAAACCGGACTTTCAGGAAAAATCGGTAGACGGAGCAACACTGTCGGCGTGACATATACGCTACTACAAACCGCTGAGGAGAAGTAATCCAGTGGAACAAATAAATTAGTTATAAAACATCGCGAAGTTATAAAGAAATTTACACTGGTTAATTGCAACGCAGAGAATCTTGTATTTGTAAAAAATCCTGTGTTCTGGATTTAAAATTCCAAATGATAGTAACTGCCAAACGTTATACTGATATACATACTATATAAAAATGAATCACATACCCAACGTATATACAACATATATACAAAAGCAAGAACAGCTAGAGCCTCGCGCTCGCCGCGCGAAGAAAAACCGGTTTTCATACGTGCGTAGATGACGTTAATAAAATAACTATAACTTATATTCTAGTGGGAATTTCTTTTTAAAATTTTAGGAGGGAGTTTTTGAATGTAAATGGAAGCGATTTATATAAAAAAAATAAAATTGATTTTTTGAAAGTTCCGCATGAGACTGTCCCCTTAAATAAAAATGACAAAAGTATAGAGAAAGTGCTGATGAAGTTAGCTACAAATGAGGGACAGATTTGTATTTGGCAGTGTTGCCATATCACAAATAAATCACCAAAGAGCATGTGATATAATAATAATTATTAATGTTACAGTATTTATAAAGTCAGTTGAAACATTTCTGTCCGACTCAATTTATAAGGGCAATTCAATATCGATACATTTTTGGCAAGGTAACGTGACATTTTTGGCGAAAATCATGTGTTTCAATTAAACTAACACTATTATTGTTAAAAAGGTACTGCCAAAGTGTAGTAAGCCTAGAATTACTTTAAACCTTTTTTAGGATAAGTTTTTTCAGTCATAATTTAAATAAGTTTAACCAGGTTGAATTAAAAAATTGTTTTTTCTACAAATTATGTTTGGTGACTTACGTTACTTTGCAAAAAATGTATCGATATTACATTTACCGGTAATCAAGTTAAAGTATAAATAACATGCGTCAATGTTTCAAACGTATTTGAACAATCCCCATACTTTGTAGGAAATAGATGGGAGAAAGAGGGAATGAAAGATACATCCCATCAAATAAATGTTGGGCATTGATATGTTATTCAAACTCACCAATATTTAACACTCTACTTGGAGGTTCCCTTCTAGACGGCTTCAATGCGTACAGTTAAGAAACGCTGTTGATTCATGCCAGTGCTGTACAGCCAAAATGTTTATTATTTTACGAAGTATAATTAAATCTTTATACCGTCAATATGGCCTATTGCCATTTAATTATAAATTATTTTTGTTGCTTAATATGACATGTTAAAAACATTTTTGTGCACTTATATACTTTACGACAGCTTTAAGTAAATTAAAATTGTCCTTTTTCTGTTCTACATTAATCTATATTTAATTATAAAAATAAATGGTGTGCCCTGTCTATTCTTTTAATGTTTGTCGTCAACCAGTTTTTTGGGTGTTTCAACTGACTGTATAAATACTATACTAAACATTCTTTTTATGTTTTTAAAAGAAGTTTAATTAATTTAAATTTAATTTATTGATAATTTTATTTTGTTTTTTTTTTTAGTTTTTAAATTCTGAAGTTTTTAAATTATTCAGGTACCATTCCATCCCATAATTATAAGAAAATGGGCATAAAATTGAAATCTGCTGAAATCTGTTGCAATCTGGCAACTAGTGTTTTCAATGTTCTGGCAATATTGCCAAGTTTATTTGCTAATTTACCAAAGGCCAATTATAATTTTTTGTCTAATAACTAACTGCAAATACTATCAAAAGAAACAAATATTCATTCATTCATGTTTAATATAAATTTAAAACATTTTAAAAAGTACCCGATTTCATAAAATATTATAATAAGAATGTACTGATTCAAAGCATATTTGAGGCATAAAACATATAGATAATAAGGACATGGAAATACTGCAAACACAAATTTAACAGATCATTTGTATCTAACTTCATCAGCACTTTTTCTATACTTTTGCCATAAAAATATATTAAAAATCAATAATACCAAATACTGAATATATAAAATCGGATTAATATGACTAGTTTTGTTAAATGAGTTTAGAGAGAACAATGAAGAAAATGTTAATTGTGATAGCAGAGCTTCTAGTAATAAATGAAGACAGAACAAATAAAAGGTATAGATGGAAAAATGTCAAAAATCGTTTAAATCAAGTAATAAAAATTGAGATAAAGGAAAAAGTAAAACAGTTTTAAGATGGAAAGATGCATAAAAAAAAGGGACAAATTATTTCACATACTTTAAAATTTTAATTCTTCGGCTTGATTCTAATTATCATTAGTTGAAATTCAGAAGATTGTTTGATAATAAAATTCCATATAATTATAAAGTTTTTTATTTTAGTGCAAACCACATAATTCCTGGTTTTGAAACTGATGCTGGATTTAATGACATAAGACCTAGATCATATCATATTTATAAACCAGAGGAACTATGTCCTGACATGATTGTCTTAGCAAATTATAATTTAGAGGAAAAGCATTTAAGAGGACATTGGTAAGCTGCTACAAGTAATTTGTTTTCTAATAATATTAATAAAAACGCTATTATATACTGGTTAGATATTTTGACTTGGCAACTAATATTTTTACTTTAGTATCAATCAATATGATACCTTTTGTTAGTGTCACAGTTATGAATAATATCATCACCATCCTTGCCTGGCTTTCCAATGTCTGACCCCTAGATTTCTCAAGTCATCTTCGACTTAAGTTTTAAATCTAGATCTTGGCCTGTCTCTCTTCCTAGTTACTACTGGCTCTTGATATAATATCTGTCTTTGGGGTCTCCAGTGTCCATTATTTCAGGATGTCCTAGCTACCTTAATCTATTAATAGACTGGACGACGTTGCATTTTTCATAGCATTGATACAACTCAAAATTGTATCAGGTCTCTTTTGGTCTGTGTTACTATGTCAATGTCATCTGTGTAAGCCAATATCTGTACACTTCTATTGATGATTGTACCTCTGGTTGTTCTGCCTGATTTCTCTATGGCTCTTTCTAGCACGATGTTAAACAATAGGCATGATAGACTGTCTCCCTGGCGTAATCCAGTATGTGTTTAAAAAGACCTTGACATCCAGTTTTGTACCTTGACTTTGCAATCAACTTTCGAAAGAGTTGCCTTTACCAATGTTATTAGATGCGATGGAATATCTAGTTCTACGTTGGCATTATAAAGTGCGCTTCTATCTACACTGTCATAAATGCTTTTAAAATATATGAAAAGGTGGTGGGTATCAATTCCAAATTCATATGTCTTTTCTAAGGTTTGTCTGAGAAGGAAAAGCTGATCAATTGTTGACCTTTCTTTTCAGAATCCACATTGGTATTTGCCTATTTTTTCCTCAGTATATACTAGTAAACAATAGTAAAGTATATAAGCCAGTACTTTGTAAGCCATATTTAAGAGGGTAATGCCTTGATAGTTGTCACATATTAGTGGATCCTCTTTCTTGTGAATAAGTATTATAATACCTACATTCCAACTGTCTGGGAGTTTTCCTTCTTTCCAAATGGATGCAACAAGTTTTATTATGTATTTTTTTAGTGCTTACGCTCCATACTTGAACAGCTCAGGGGGTATACCATCTTCTCCAGGGGATTTGTTGTTTTTTTAACCTTTTTATTACCTTAGCAACTTCTTCTTCTGTTGGTATATTATTTTTCTTCCTCTCATCGTCTACATCTCCACTGTGGTCATTTGTGTCAGTCACTTCTCAGTTGCGTATATTTAATTTCTCAGCAAAATTCTCCTCCCATCTCTCCACTATTTGATCCGGCTCATTGATAATTTCGGTTTCCTTACTTTTTATTGTGGTTATTCTAGGTTTAAATTCTTTTCTGTTGTGGTTCACATTTTTATAAAATTTTCGCGCTTCGCTTTGTGAATTAGCCTTTCTAGTTCTTATATCTGGTTTTCTAAATGTCGTTTTTTCTTTTTTTTAGTATATTTTTCTCTGCTTGTCTCATCTGTTTGTACTCCTCTTGATTTTGTCTTGTCCTTCTGTTTTGGAGTTTCTCATAGGCCTGATTCTTTTTTGAGTTGCTTGTGCGCATCAAACCATTCTGCCTCCTTCCTTTCTTGTTTCTTCTTTCTTCTTTCCTAAAACTGTTGTTGCTACTTCTTTCAGGATATTTTCGCACTTATTCCAGTAATTATCTATGTTTTCAACAGTACTACTCATTTGGTCTTCTAGTTTTTCTTTAAGTTTGTATTCAAATTTTCTAACTATCTCAGGGTTTCTTTTCCTCATCTTTTCCTTTTTTTGTGTTAGAGATTCTTACCCTTAGTTTAGCCTGGACCAGGTAGTCAATGTTTGCTCCACGTCTGGTAGATACATTTATAACATCGCTTGCGTCCACAACAACATGGTCAATTTGATTGATTGTGTTACCATCTGGGCTAACCCAGGTGCCTTTGTGTATCTTTTTACGCTCAAAACATGTGCTGGCTATCACCATATTCATTGAGGCCGCAAGGTGTATTAAACATGTTTCATTGTTGTTCGATTTGTTATGGAGGCTATATTTTCCAATGGTGGGTATATTTCCCAATTTTCCTATTTTTGCATTAAAATGTCCAAGTACGATTTTTATATTATTTCTAGTTCTAGGCAGTTCCGTATTATTTCTTCCAGTTTTTCGTAAAATTCATCCTTTTCTTCATCTAGCTTATCTTCTGTGGGTGCATGGGCATTAACTACTGAATATTTGAAAAATTTTCCCCTAATTCTTATTTTGCATATTCTGTCGCTTATGGCTTCGAAGGTCTATTACTAGGTGCTTCACTCTGCTGCTGACTATGACTCCTCTTCCAAGTTTATGCTCTGTTGGGTGGCAGCTATAGTACATTGTATATTTCTTTTTCTCGAATATTTTTTTCCCAACCACCTATTTAAAATTTAAACAAAAGTGCAGTGTAAAAGTGTTACTTCTTCTGGACTAAAAACTGGAAGTTTAATTTTCCTATTTCATCAATAATAAATCAAGTGTAAACAACTATTTCGCTTATACCAGTTCTGCCGGTAATGATCCACTATAAGCACCAGGACCAGGGTATTCAAGTTAATTTAGTTTTTGTTAAACTTTACTAATTATTTTCCTATGTTATGCTTACTTTGAAAAAATTTTATACATTATATTTTGTTCCAATGTAAATGGTATATCATTGAATAAATAAATAAGTAAATAAATGTGGGTCTTGCTGGAAAAACATATAGATGTTTACGAATTAAGCAAACAGTTCCTAAAATATATAAAGAGGGAAGCATGATTTTTGAAGTAGCTTCTGCAATGTGTTATTCTTCATCATCATCTTTGGCTCGACAATCCTCTGTGGATCTTGGCCTGCTCTAAGATTCGTCGCCATTCTGTTCGGTTTTTGGCAACATGTTGCCATCTTCTGATTTTTAATATTCGTAAGTCGGTTTCTACTCCATCTAACCACCTAATTCGCGGTCGGCCTTTGCTTCTTTTTCCTACAGGTGTTCCTGTGGTTAGCTTTTTAGCAATGATATTTTCTGGCATTCACATTATGTGTCCAGCCCATCTAAGTCGCTGTGTTTTAATGAACGTTATGACATCTGGCTCATCAAAGAGCTGATACAATTCAAAATTATATCTTCTGCGCCACTGCCCTTGGTCTTTTACAGCTCCAAATATTTTGCGGTAGAGTCCATGTTTCTGCTCCATGTGTTATTCTACTGAGGCCAAAAAGATACTGCATTACTCTTTTTTGTAATTTAAAAATAACATCAGATTGGGCAGCTGTACTAGAACCCCAAAAAGAAAGATCATATCGAAGATGAGACTCAAACAATCAAAAGTATGTTATTTTATAAGATGCTAAATTGATTTCCTTTGAAACAGATCTTATTGCATAGCAGTTTCTAGTTCCTTACGTAACAAATTGATATGAAGGGACCATTTAAGGTTGCTATCTATAAAAATACCAAGAAATTTTACAGAATCAATTATACTGATCTAGCTGTTATTAAGAAGCAAGAGTTGAAGAGCTTGTTTATAGGATAATGCTACTGTCTTATCCACGTTGAAAGAGAGTAAATTACGAGTCGGACCAGCATGAAGAGTTGCAATATTAGAGTTCCTCCAGGTGGTACTGGTATCATCAGCCAAAAGAAAAAATTGTCCATCAACTTTTAAGTTACTGATGTCATTTATAAAAATAAGGAAAATAAGGTATTGACATTCGGAAATTGCTTATATCACGATTGATGTGTAGGATATGAAAGGGTGAAGTTGCAGTAAGATCCAAACCATCAAAGAGAGAATTTAGTATACAAGAGAGAGGTAGGACAGCTCTAGTGGTCTGAGAATGATGGATGAGATTATTTGGTTGAGTAAGTAGTTGGTAGACTGGATTTTCAGAATGGCGGTTCGTTAGCATCACAGTACATGCTTTGAGCTGGGCTGGGCGTATTATGGACGGAGTCAAGAGCTTTCAGATGTGACTTGGAGGCAGACATATAGACAAAACTACCATAGTCTATTTTGAACCGAATAATGGATCTGTAAACTGTAAACAATGCCTCTTCGTCAGCTCCCCATTGGAAATGGGCTAGACTTTTTAGGATATTAATATTTTTTAAGCAGTTGGCTTTCGTTTCCTGGATGTGTGTATTCCGAGTAAGTCTGGAGTCGAAGGTCAATCCTAAAACTTTAAGATGATTAATAGCATCTAATAATACCCCATTGTATGTCAAAGTTGGATTATCTTTTGTTGTGTTTCTACTAAATTTCATAATTTTAGTTTTTTTTTGTTGAAAAGCAAAGCCCAATATACTAATAAGCCCGGTACTAATATTTTTGTACGGCATTAGCAGGTCATTATTTTTGTATTGAGAGTTAAGTTTATCTTACTGTGACTCACCTGTACCGATAAAAATACCATACTGGGTCAAATGACTTATTAAAATCTCCCACGGGCTTGTAGATTATAATTAATACAATTAATTTGAATTATTTTACCATTCTTTATACCACTAAAATCATACATACAAATTATTAAATTTTGTTTCAGGTATAACTTTAAAATAGAAGAAGCTAGTAAACTGAATGTAACAGGTACCGCTTTAGTTGGAAAAGAACAAACACCTGTAGAAAATTGCAAATTAATATTTGTTGATAGAATTATGAGAATAGAACATCCTGTTCAGTTAACTGAAGTTAGTGCTGAAGAAAGGTTGTCCAGATATTCAGAAAAAACTAACAGTAAGAGCATAATTTATATATTTTATTTATTAAGAAAAGACAGGTTAACTGTATGATCTGGTGCCCTTCTGACCTGACATCAATTACTATACCCTGTATATACAGTGTGTCCGTAAAGCATGGAATAAATTCGATTTTTCCTAAACAAAAAGATTATTTAAAAAAATCTAAAACACGTCGATTTTTAGGTTTAACACTAGAAAGTCGGAGGGGCCAATTTGGCCCCTGTTGCGATTTGAAGTTATTGTAGTTCTTTTATTTGACACAATAATAATTTCATATTTTATGACTTTTAATATTTTGATACAAAGTCTCATTTAACGCAAAAAAATATTGTTTACTAAATTTATTAAATGGATTTTCTAACAAACCTACCATAGAAGTCTGAAGGGCCCAAACTGGCCCTATATTAATTATTATCGTTTTCTCGGAAATTTGACGATTTCTTTTAACTTTCTGTCGGATAGATAAAATTATGTTTATGTACGTTTATTCCTAGAAGGTATTTTCTTACATAGTGTTTGTTCCTTGAAAGTATTTTGTTTATTGGGCGGTTTATTAGGTTCTGCTGACTCTCGTTTCTAGAATATTGAAACATTCGTTCAATTGTGAAAATTCAAGACGACTGTAAAGATGTCTCGCCGTGGACTATGAGAGCTTGAACTTCTTGAATAAATACGAAAAATACAAGAAGATGTTTCGGGAGGTGAATCTGAATTTGCAGAAAATAATGAGTCAGACGATGAACAATACGTACCACCATAAAATAATGATTCAAGTGACTCTGATGCTTCAGAGCAGTTAGAAAGTTTTATTGTACAAGACTCACTAATTTAGGTAAACACTGCTTCTACAACTCAACAACACGAGTCAGCTAATTTTATCGTGAATCCAAGTGCATCTAAGCCAAGTCACAAGAGAAAAAGAGGTCAACAAGGAAAAACTATTTCAATCGGAGACACCGAACAATGGAAAACGGAACAACGTGGAAAGTTATTGATTCTGGATCAGTACCTGGTAAGATTATGATTTTTAGTATCTTCATATTCATTGAATGTTTGCTCATTACAGGACGCCGCGCTCAACACAACATTTATCGAGAGGAATCAGGTCCTACGTCGTATGCAAAAAGGAACGTGAGGAACAATTGTGTGGTAAGTGCTTGGCATCTAATAATCAACGACAGCATGTTACGTCATATAAAAGAATGCACTATTGCAGAAGCGCATCGATGTTTGAAAAATGACACATGGACTATAACTTTGGAAGAACTGGAGGCTGCCCTTGCTATTATGTACGCAAGAGGAGTCTACGGCGCCAAAAATTTCCCAACCAACAGCTTGTGGTCAACAGTAGGGGTCCTTAGTTTTTTAGGCAAACTATGGCACGTGACAGATTCAAGGATATAAAATATCTCCGATTTGACATAAAGCAAACGAGATCTGAACGATTGAAAACCGACAAATTTGCTCTAGCCTCTGCGGTTTGGAATGGATTTATAGAAAATAGTGGTACATGTTACAAACCGGGAATAAACCTTACTGTGGACGAACAACTACTGCCTTCTAAAGCCAGGTGCCCGTTCACACAGTACATATCAAATAAGCCAGTTAAGTTTGGCATAAAATTTTGGCTTTTGACATGAGTGGAATCAAAATATATTGTAAATGGTTACCCTTATACTGGCACTGATCATCTACGCAAGAAAGATACAAGTGTTGGTGAACATGTTGTTTTGCGGTTAATGGAAAATCAACTGGGAAAGGGCAAAAATGTTACGACAGATAACTACTTTACATCGTTAAAATTGGCCAAGGCATTGCAAAAAAAATCAACAAGTCTTGTGGGTACTTTGAATCGCAACAGAAAGGAAGTTCCTCTAAGCGTAAAGAGTAAAAAATGGAGAATTATATGTTACCCATATATTCCAGAGCGACGAAAAGATAACACTTACTGCATATCAAGGAAAGAGTCACAAAAATGTGCTTTTGTTGAGCTCATTACATCAATCAGTGGATGTTGCTGTCGATGGAAAAAAACAGTAAGTTTTTATAATAAAACAAAATACGGGATTGATGTAGTGGACCAAATGGCGCGTCTTTATACTACAAAAGTTGCTTCAAGACTATGGCCAATGCACGTGTTTTATAACATTCTTGACTTAGGAGCAATAAATGCATGGATTATTTATAAAGAAGTTACTGGAAGTAAAATCAGTCGTCGTAAGTTTATTCTTCAGCTGTGTGAAGAATTACGGGCTCCATACCTTGCCTCCCGAAATCTGGTACTATACCCAGCACCACCGGATTTACCAACCACCAGCACTGTTACTAGCCAAAAAAGAAAAAAAATGTCAATTAACAATGTTTTGTAAAGGAAATCATGCTTCCAATGAGCGCCACGGCTGTAACAAGGTAATGTGTGGCAAATGCCAAAAACTGCAAACTGTATTGTGTTCTAAATGTTTAAAATGAAACTAAAAATTAAATCAAATTCTATCGTCAAGAGTTTATATAATTTCTTAAAACTGTTTATTTTTATTTTTTGTTTATTCCCAAATAAATAGTTAATTCTAAACTTGGTTTTTATTGATTTAGGAACTTGGGGCCAAAATGATCCCTTCGGGCTTTCTAGGTAGGTATGCTAAGCCCGACTTTCTAGTGTTAATGTTCTACATTTTACAACAAAATTTCATTATGAAAGGTGATACACATTAAGGTGATGACGTCATCGGCTCCTTTTTTAAATGCAACACCCTATATTTTATGATATTTTTAGATCGATAAAAATGAGCTGATTCCAAAAAAGTATAATACTCGGGGTCTAATGGATCTAATTTGAGAAATATGCGCTTAGAAAATAATTTATTATTATCAATTGCAAAAAAGTAGCCTACTACTAGTTTGCAAACAAGTAGCCTACTACTAGTTTTTAGTGAAATGTAATTATTTTTAGTAACGTTCAATAACAATTAAGTATTACAATAATTGTATTAATTGGTGAATATTCTGTATTATTGCTTAGAATTAATTTGAAGTAGAAATGAATTTGAGTGTAATACAAATAATTGAAATACTCATGATGATTTGGTATGGAGACAAATCGCGAACTCAGATGGAAGTGTGTATTTTATTAATTTATTTAATATCCAGAAAGACCCATACCGCAGTAAACAGTTAGTAAGATTGAAAAGAAATTTCGAGAAACTTTTACGGTTGAAAATGCACGCAAATCAGGTCGCTCCTCTGTAAATTATGATACAATATTAAATGTTCTACTTGCTTTTGAAAAAGATACGCACACTTCTGTTCGTAAAGTTAGTCGTGATCTCGATGTTTGCAAAACAACGGTACACAAAGTAATAAAACTTGAAAAATGACACCCGTTTATATTCACACTTGTACACGGAGTTAAACGAGGACAATCCAGATAAAAGAGCACAATTTTGCGAAACAAAGATGAATAACTGCCACCGAAATCCGCTCTTGGTTTAAAATATTATTTTTGCAGATGAGGCTACATTCACATTAAATAGCGAGGTCAACCGTCATAATTGTATACACTGGGCAAAAGAAAACCCCAACTGGATGCGGGAACATCATACACAATACCCGCAAAAGGTAAATGTATGGGCTGGCATTGTAAGAAATATAATCATCGGACCCTACTTTTTCTAAGGTAGTTTAAACAAGCTAGCATACCTTCAGTTTTAAGGGAGTGTCTCGTACCTGCTTTAGCTAATTTGTTCCCCAGTAGAATTAATCCTAGAAGGTTTGATCAAAGTTTATTGTTTCAACAGGATGACACGTATTCGCATTATGCTGTAGATGTTCGAAGGTGCCTAAACGAAATTTTTCCGAATAGGTGGATTGGAAGACATGGATACATTAAATGGCCAGCGAGGTCACCAAATCTCAATCCTTTGGATTATTTTATGTGGGGTCATTTGAAGAATGTTGTTTATAAAACGAAACCTTCAAATATTAAAGACTTAAAAACAACAATTCTTAAAGAAATAAATAATATTTCTCAAGAAACCATAAACAAGGTTGTTTAAGAATTTGTGCAACGTTTGGGTTACTGTCAAATACAACAAGGGCTACAATTCGAACATTTAAGATAAAGTATTGTATTAATTACTGGATTACCTTCAAGTTATTATAATTTATGAATATTAGAAATCAATAAAAATTCATTTTTTAAGCTCATATCTTTCAAATTATATCCGTTAGATCCCCAGTATCATACTTTTTTGAAAGCAGCTCATTTTTATCGATATAAAAATGTCCTCAAATTATATAGGGTGTTACATTTATAAAAAGAGCCGATGACGTCATCAGCTGTGTCATGTGATCCACCGCATTAAACACGCTGAGACGAATGGTCTCAGACAGTAACTTTTTGAGTGATCGTATTTTTGACACCTTGTGCATTGTACTAATATATTTTTTATTCTAGGTGGTTCTACTGTTATTATGCAGTTTCGTAGGACTTGCAGGTTAAATATGTTTTGTTGTTTTCATTTTTCTCTGTATCGACAAAGAATAAGGGCAATAGTTCTTTGGTAACTCTATGTCTAACATTAATTATGTTGCGAACTTTAAAATCCTTACTATTTAATTCATGCGAGATATCTCCTGTGGGTATTGAATGACGCCTCTTATGACAACTCTATAGGCTCTCTCTTGTTTCGGTTGTTAAATTAGTGTTAAGAGTGCTGTACTGTGTTTTCTTTTCTAAGGTGCTGTATGAGTGTCCTGTAGGTTTCTGAGTTTGTAGGGTTAATTTTTACTGTATTATTTGAAATGGTTTTGGCGTAATAGGTTTCTGCCGTAGTTGCAGTTGAAAGGTTTGCTATCATAGCACTATAGTCGGTAACTTTATAAATATAGATTGGTGGCGGTGAGGGATCTTTTTTGGTTATATTTGTGTTTTGTGTATTTGATTGAGAGGGAATCAAATCTGTTTTGTGTTTGGATTTGGTTGGAAATTTCTGAAGTTGTTTGTCTTTTCACTCTTTTTCTCTTATTGCCAACTTCTTGCCAATGATGTTTATTTTCGTTTTCTGCTTCGTTAAGTTCTATGTCGCTATCGTTATCCGTGTGGTTATTGGTGTTTTTTTTTATGATGAGAGTGGGCATTGAGGGTTTGTGGATACTGTTGTGTATTGGGACTGGATAGGGTTTTGAGTGTTTTGAATATTTTGTGCAGTTGATTGACTAGTAAATTGTACTTGGATTGGTATAGCTATTTGGGTTGGAATAGGTATTTGGTTTAGGCATGTCATTTGATTTGTTATCTGGTTAGATGGTGTTTGATTAAAATACAAAAATGGTACTTGCGTTTTTACTGCTGTTTGGTTTGACTGGTTGTGGTTATTTATTGTTGGGATATCCTGTATAGTATTCATTTGTTGATAAATTGGTTGGCCATTATTATCAAATGTTCTCTTTGGAGAATAAATTCTCTGGAGGGAACATATTTCTTTTGTTTCACTAATCACTTAGTTTTTATTACTTTTCACTTTAACAATTTTTTATACTGATAAGATAATTACTAGTTAATTAGGTAGTTTTACGATAAGAAAGTTCTCTCGCGCTTTGAATGACGGTACATGTTCATGCTTGGAGAATCAGACTGCTACTACTGAAAATAATAATGTCAAAAGAACTTTCCTTGAGATGTGTCACATTCTCAAACAGCCTTCAACTATAAACAGGCGTAATGATATCGACCATCTTATTGAAATTTATAATTATCTCATTTTACACAACAAGTAACTGTTAGGTCTTGCTTCTTCTGGGAATTTGTTTTTGTGAGTTTATGGCTCCTTTTTTTGTTTCATTTTTTTTGCTTCATATTTATTAGGGTTTAAATAATTGCTGAGATCATCATGTCTTTATCAGCCAAGTTTGTTTTATCCTCTTAACTGCCATTTATTTTTGAGATAGTCACCCTAAGTTTACCTAGCATCACATGTTGTCACATTTAACTTTAAAAAAAGTTTTTACATATAAGAATAGTCTTATTGTCTCATGCCAGACAGCATGTAATACCTTCTTATAGTTTAATTGAGTTTAATATCTAAATTGATGAACTGTTGCACATTTCATGTAGGTGTGTTACATTCTTCAATTATAAACACTGTAGTGATCTCGCTAGTTTGATTACATCTAGTTTTTACAAAACACCATAGAATATAAAACAACTATTGTCTTTCACATTACCTAATAACTTGGTTTCAAAGGTGAACATAATTTTACGAATATATGGTCCAACAAAAACACCTTGCAATTTGGCTTCTGATAGGTGGGAAAACTTTCCACTCAAGTACTTGAAACATTCTCCATCTTTAGGCAGGGCCTTGACAAACTGTTTCATTAAGCACTTGATGTGTAGAGGTGGAAGGAGGATCTTTCTTAGATCTACCAAAGTTTTGTACAAAATGCTCTTCTCGCCTTTAAAACATTACCAGGTTCAGTGTTTATCTCTTCCTGTATTGTCCCATTCACAAATAAAACATGCAAACAACTTTTAAATCTCTACAGATCAGCCAATTGTGAGTTGAATAGCTGATTTTCTGTTGAATTGTTTCAAGATTTTCATATGTCTCTTTCATATGGACTCAATGAGCAATAGAAAGTGAAGCATAATGTTTCCATGGTGTAAACTTGTTTTTGAAGAGTCTATAAAAAGCCTCCATCATCCTTATTATTCTCAATAACAAACTTATTCATTAGACCACCAATATAATGACAGTAGACCAAATCCCTTTCCTGCTTAAAAACTGAGCAAACTGTTGATCTCTGTACCTATATTTGTAAATAGATGTACCAGGTGACAACAAATGTTTTTCTTTTAATCTTGAGCCAAGCAATTCTGATTTTTTCCTTTGTTAAACCTAAATATCTTACTAAGTCATCTAACTGAGCTTGTGTAAACAACTGTGGTTGTAAATTTTCTGAAGAACACTGAAATTCACCATCACTTTGTGGACCACTTTCATCAGATTCTGATTCACTAGTATTTTAAATGCCATTAATACGTATAGGAGGCTCAGGGACTATAGCAGTTCAGGTCCATGCTCTACCGGACAGATAGCAGACGGGAGGTTAGATAAGCAATCACTTTCTTATTTTTTGAGTTATATTCAGAAACATCGACATTACAAAAATAACAATTATTTGAGTGATTTTTTGCTTTCTCCATACCATAGGCACTGGAATCTGACTTCTTTCTTCCACTACTTCCTTAAATCCTCAACACAAACATAACATACATTGTAAGGAGCCCAACCTTTGTCTTGGTCACCAATTGTCACACCAAAATATGCAAAATACACCTTTTTTACAAAGTCAGTAATGCTTCTATGTTTTTCAATAACAAAATCACCACATAATATGTAACAAAATGTATTTGACAGTTTTTACAACCGCGACTAGCCATACTTAAAAGCTGAGTCAAACACTGAAAAGTGAGGTTATGTTTATTAGAATAAAGGAACTATACAGCTGTTAATGAAGAGAAAGAAGAACAAAGAGTGTTGTACAAGTAATTAACAGTGCTACCAACCAAGTAAACGTAGATTTCCCTACTCGTTAAACAAAATAAAATGTAATTATGCAATTTTAAAAGTTAAATTATGAATGAATTTTGTGTGATACAGCATTTTTAATATGATTTTCGGACTCAGCAACTAAAATATATAAGATATAGGTAATTTTATCAAAAAAGTTTTTTCATGGTTGGCCTGTATTATTCATAATATTTTCAAAAGTTTCTTTTCTAGTTTTATTAACTTGATGTGTGTGCTTTAGTTCTGTGTTTTTAGGAATTTACCCTTACAACTGTAATACTTGTAAAGATGATAAAAATAAAAAATGTCGTGAATGCGGTTGTACTGTGTGTCACACAAAAGAAAACTGGGAAGATATAATTTTATGTGATGAATGCGACGATGAGTATCATCTTGAATGTCTTGATCCGCCATTAGATGAAGTTCCGGAAGGAGATTGGTATGTACTGATTAAAAAAATCCTTACAAAGCTTTTTTATATTTTCGATGATAATTTATTTATTTAAATTTTTTAAAGTTATTTTGAAGCATAGATATTACTTTATATGATTGTGAAACTGTGATCCTATGGCAATTAGTTCACCTAAATTAATAGCCAATTTTACAAATTTCCCAACGTAATTTTAGGATAAACCATACTTGAAACTACACAACATATTGATGCTTATTACTATTATTATTGATAAAATTTTAACATATTTAATTTTAAATATTCCTGCTACTGTCACATTCAGACACATACCTCAGGTTACATTACTGCTTTGTTCCGACCTCTGCGCTAACATGTCATTTTAATCAGTTACTATCATCAAGTCCTCGTAGACACTTCGGCTCAATACTAACAACCTCCAGTGGAGTCTTACGTTGCCATCCTATCTATTTATGTTCTAACTTAAATATCATAGCTTATACAGTTAAAACATGTAACTGATAGTTAATGTAACATTTAAAGGGTTCTTACGCATATATTTAGCGGCTTCAAATATGTAAATCCAGTAAGTATTAACCACACTTTTTGTAATAAAATTGGTCAAAATTTTAAATTTCATGTTTGATTTAAGTGGTTATACTTTTAGGATAGCACTGATGATGGAATATTAATTTCGAAAACGTTCTGTGATGTAGCCCGATAGGGTTATTAATATTATACTTTCATAAAGGAATTTTTAATTAATTTTTTTTATCTTTTATTGTAAAACAATTTCCATTTTTATTTATTCGTCAGGTACTGTCCAGAATGCAAAACTGATGATTCCGAGATAGTTAAAAGAGGTGAGGGAGTAAGATTGAGTAAAAAACGGGCAAATATGCCAAGTAAAACCACTACGTCTACCCGTGATTGGGGTAGAGGTATGGCTTGCGCTGGGAGAACGACGGAGTGTACGGTAGTTTCCAAAGATCACTTTGGCCCTATTCCAGGAATCGATGTTGGAAGGCGTTGGAAATATAGAGCACAGGTATAGTTACATACAGTAGATTCGTTGGATCTTTGCACATTGTAATCATTCATATTGTAGGAAATAAACCAAAACATGTGAGTCAAACTTACGTCGGTTATATGGTTTAGAAAATGGCTAATATTATTATAATGGACGTTTTTATACTTGTTTTTTTTTGTTCTGTACTTTATGAACGCGATTTGTATTCGTTCCACATACTGCGTGTGTTCTACATAAGCAGTATGTGGAATAAAGATAATACTTAATTGTTTGAATACGAGTGAGCCACAATCCACGCATGTTGGAGTAGCGAGTCTAACTTTTATTAAACAGTGTTGCAAACTTTCTGTTACATCATTCCTTCTAAAATATTAGTCGGATATAGTTCTTTTCATCATATTGATAGCACATTATGTATGCAAATCCTCAACAGGCCAAAAAACCATAGGCGTCACCCTATACTTGTTTTGAAATAAATAAAAAAAAAATAATATTTTAAGGTGCCGTCAACAATTCATTATCTTTTAAAAAATCTTCTGTAAAATACGTGTCCACTAATCTCACTATACCTTTTTTGTGCGTAAAAAACGTCGCTATGTATGTCATACAATTATCGTTAATTATACACGGGTGATTAACGAGAGATGTTTCACGAAATAAATTAATGTAAACAGTAATTTAAAGGTGATTATTGTTTTCTATACAAGTTATCGCCGGACACAAAAAGAATACATTCTTTGAACGATTACCTGGAATTACTGATAAGGCTTCACTAATGATAGTTTAAGTAGTTTTTATGCCACATTACAGCCTATGCCAATAATATAAATTAGAAATTGTTTGAATCTTCCATTTAGTTTGTAGATGTACATTGTTCATGTCTTACCTACCTACGTTTTTGGTGTCGATATTTTATTTGCATTTAAAAAAGACGTCGACAACAGATTTTATCCCGCTTAAGTGTAGTTTTAAAGGTGCCTTCAGTCTAAGAGAGAAAAATATCATATTAAATGTACACGATGCACTTGTACATCAACGCCCTTTAAGTAATGTTCGTAAAATCATTAACATGTGTTCAAATATGACAGGGGTTGGAGAAGCAACAATTTATAGATTCATAAAAGAAAGAAAATGAGGAACTGTTTCATCTCCTAAGAAGAGTGGAGGGAGTAAACCCTTGGAAATTGAAGAAATACATAAAAACGTGATAAGACGCAGCGTCCACTCTTTTTTTTTAACAAAGAATTTTCAACATTGGACAAAATCCAAACATTAATTGGAGAAAACGAAGAGTTACCAATCATAAGCAACAAGAAATTATGGGGACTATTGAGCGAGATGGGATTTCGTTGGCAAAAGAAAGAAGAAAATCCGTTTTAAGTTCCCGTCAGGCATTCATCGAAGGTGTATCTACTGGAATAAACAATATTCCCGTTGAAAAAGGACGCAGACTCATAATAACCCATATTGGAAACGAATACGGTTTTGTCAATGGTGGATTATTAAGTTTTGCCTCAAAATCAACCAAAGATTACCACGAGGAAATGACTGCTGACGTTTTTGACGAATATTTTGAGCAAATGTTTGATTTAATTCCAAAAAATTCTGTCATAGTCATGGATAATGCTAGTTACCATTCAAGACTAGCAGAAAAATTGCCGACAACGGCATGGAAAAAAGGAGAGATAATTGAATGGTTGGATAAACACGCAATTGAGTACAAGGAGAATTCGACAAAAAAGGAATTATTACCTATTGTAAGGCAACATAAAGCAGCTTATAAAAAGTATATAATTGAAGAAATGGCATTAAACCGTGATGTAATTATTTTACGTTTACCCCCATACCACTGTGATCTGAATCCGATAGAAAATATATGGTCTCAAGTAATGGGTGAAGTCGGACGCAACAACAAAACTTTTAAATTAGAAAGCTTACAACAATTATTAGAACATTCCTTATCAAAAGTCACTCCAGAAAATTGGAAAAATGCTGTTAGTCATGCTCACAAGGAAGAAAATAAAATGTGGAATTTGGATAATATGACTGATGCAATGCTGGAACCGGTAATAATTAACATTGGAGTTGAAGATTCCTTAGATTCTGAAGAAAGCAGTGAATCTGAAATGGAATTTGATTAAAATAATATTCATTTTTTACAAATCGGCCCCTGTTACGGCCACAAATTATTTTATATATAACCAATAAAATAAACATCTTACATTTCTTGCAAATTCATTAGTACCTGTTACTCTCCATCACTCCGACACTGGCAACTTTATAAACCCTCAAAACTCTTGTATTCTATTCTGCTTCAACCTTTATATCTGGTGGTCATACTCAATTTAAAATTGTTTTCCCATATACTTCTGTAAACTTGTTGACAAATATCTATTTTTCATTGAGTCACCCGTATCAACAGTTTAGGGATTTGCATACATAATGTGCTATCAATATGATGGAAATGGACTATACATAAATGTAACATATTTAAATCTACTACAGTTCATTGTAGAATAAAAATTAATATTGCCCCAACAAAACTTAAATGAAGTAATCATATAACTGTTATTTTTTAAACGATTATATCATTACTTGGTTAATTAACAAAGAACACTGAATTGAGAAATTGATATATGATAACAGCGTGAGCTAAGTAAATAACGAACTTCAGTAGACAGACAGATAGTATAAACCAGAGGAGGCCAACCCGTCGATCGCGATCGACCAGTAGATCCCGCCCCCTAGATCAGTCGATCGCTAGCAAGGAAAAAATTATCGGTATAATATACCTACCTATTCCCGTTCTAAATATTACGAAAATTATTGGAGTGCTGGAATCTTGCATCGATCATCGCGAGCGACTCAAATTAATTTTTTTTCCAATCTGATATAGTTGAAAAATAAATAAATAAGAATTAATACTTTTGTTTTATTCAGGAATTACTAATACACACTGGCGAGCAATAAAGCTAATTAATTCAGAATTTTAGCGCTCAGTCGAATCGGTTTCAGATTAATAATTCTTTCAGATCTCGAAAGCTGGTCAAATAGTCTTTTTGAATTAGATAGAATAGAATAAACAACACATTTTTTAAACTCAAATATACATTTAATAATACCCGTGGACAAACATATACAGTGAACGGCTGAATTATGGAATATTATCATTATTTCGAGAACCGTCGAGTTTTGATGGAAATCCCGAAACAGGTCGATTTTTGTTATAAAATACATGGAGTAAGGATGACGTCACCGGTGTGGATGTAGTGACATAACCGTTAATTTTTTTAAATAGAAATTGGTATAATGTGACACCTCATTTGAAGGAGAATTTAATTTTGTTACAAAATACCCATCTTAACGTACATGTTACACCTTATTTAAAGGACAATTTAATTCTCTATTTAACGACATTACATTTTTAACTAAAATATTTTTTTAATGGTACAAAAATTTTTTTTTAAATTTAAATTCAACTAAATTACAACTAATAATTTAATTTATAATGTACTTTAAAGTTACCAAGTTATGCATAACAATTATTTTAAATTAAATGTTCGAAATGCCATTCATCGGTTCCTGACTTTCTGAAATAAATACTTAAAAAAGCAAAAATAAGTAAAAATAATAATGGACACAAAAAGTTATCTCACAAACACTGAAACTTTTTGTCAGATGTTAATTCAAGCAAGTGGCTTAGTTACTGTAATATTTATTGACGTAAATGTTTTTGTGAATTGTCATCAGTTGTCAATTGTAATTTTTACTTTTGAATACTAAATTATGGCTCACCTAAATGAAACACAATCATCATCATCATCTTTGGCTCGACAATCCTCTATGGATCTTGGCCTGCTCTAAGATTCGTCGCCATTCTATTCGGTTTCTGGCAACATGTTGCCATCTTCTGATTTTTAATATCCGTAAGTCGGTTTCAACTCCATCTAACCACCTAATTCGCGGTCGGCCTTTGCTTCTTCTTCCTACAGGTGTTCCTGTGGTTAGCTTTTTAGCAATCGTATTTTCTGGCATTCGTATTATGTGTCCAGCCCATCTAAGTCGCTGTGTTTTAATGAACGTTATGATATCTGGCTCATCAAAGAGCTGATACAATTTAAAATTATATCTTCTGCGGCACTGCCCTTGGTCGTTTATAGCTCCAAATATTTTGCGGAGTATTTTACGCTCAAATATTCCCAAAAGCCTTTCATCTTTCTGCGTTAGAGTCCATGTTTCTGCTCCATATGTGAGGACCGGCCTCAGCAATGTTTTGTATATAATAATTTTAGTTCTTCTTTGAATGTTTCTTGAGTGGAAATGCTTTTGGAGTCCATAGTATGCCCTATTTGTAAGATTTATTCATCTTTTGATTTCTTCGCTTGTTTTATTGGTAGCAGTCAATAGCGACCCAAGGTATGTGAAGTTGTCAACACGTCTAAAGGTATGACTTCCAAAGACGTTCTCGTTCCTCTCGTTCCTCATTTGCTATCGGATCCTTTGTAACCAACATGTACTTGGTTTTGTCTTCGTTGATGACTAGACCGACCTGTTTCGCCGCTGTTTCCAATTCTAGGAGATATTGCTCAACATCTCGCTTGCTACGCCCTACTATGTCAATGTCATCAGCATATGCTAAGACTTGTATCGATCTATTGTAAATAGTAACGCCATCCCTAATTCGTGTATCTCGAACTGCCTTTTCTGAGGCAATATTAAATAGGAGGCAAGCCAGAGCGTCCCCTTGTCTGGGTGCATCCTTTATCTCAAAGGATCTAGAATACTCTCCCTGTATTCTAACAGTGGCTTCTAAGTTAGACATTGTCATTCTCATTAGTCGGATAAGTTTTTCTGGTATACCAAACTCATACATTGATTGGTATAGCACTGTTCTCTTGACACTGTCGTATCCGGCCTTAAAGTCGACGAATAGGTGATGGGTTTCAATATTGAATTCTAATGTTTTCTCGAGAATCTGTCTTATTGAATGAATCTGGTCAATTGTTGATTTTTCTGGA